TTCAAAAAAAAAAAAATGTTAACATTATACGATATACCCTAGTAGTAGGGGTGTGCAAAGTCTCGAAAATATCGAGACGAGACGAGATCTCGAAAGTATCTTGTTAATCGAGAACACCGAGAATCTGAAATATATTGGGATTCTTCAATACATATGCTATTATCACGCAATATAGAAAAATTAGCACTTTTACATGTAAATTCTAAATAAAATATTATACATATAGTTATTTACATTCCTAATATTTGTTTCGAGATTCTCAATATTCTCGATTAACAAGATACTATCGAGGACTCGTTTCGTCTGAAACGTCGAGATCTCGATATTTTCGAGACCTCACACATCCCTACTTAGTGATCTAAGTCTCTTTTATCCGTGAGATTATTTGCGTACTCGCAGGTCCTAGTTATTGGATGGAGAAAAGTTACTTTAAAAAAAATCTATCCTAAAACTAGGATTACGCAAAGGACGAAGACAATCATAAAATATCATCGTTTCTGAGAGTACTATCGATATAGTTGGTAATTATGTTGAATAAAAATGTTAGGGACGGTTAGGGAAGGTAGCTTAGAACGGTATAGTTTCGTGTAAAAAGAGGGTAAAAAATGATCTATCTGTTCGAAAGCTGGCAATTTTTATGATTAATCAGGATACTGATTAACAGTATTATATGTATGTCTCTAGTTGAGATACACTGAGTACAACCTATCGTCTTCTGTGTGTTTACGAAAATATTGAAACGTAAGAGCGGGACTGGAACGTGCCGCGACAGATCCGTTCGTTGTATTTACGTTGATTAGTCGGTATGTTTTTTCGTATTCGATACAGAAGGTTGCGAGTATTTCTTGTCAATAAATATTTCATAGTTGTATTAAACCGTGCCTTCCATTTGCAACAGGAATTTTCGAACGGATATCCTAAGGTAAACTATAAAAATTTGTTGTTTCATACGTTATCCATTTGTCCAACTTTTACACTTTCCTTGTTTCAACTAAGTGTCGTAAAATGGGCATAACTGAAACTCTAAGTCTATTGTGAGAGCTTGAATCGTCGTTTGTGGGTTATCTTGTACCTCTTAAGCGGTCACGTACTACGAGTTTTAGTCTTCCTCGTCGTTTATTATCGAGACTCTTCTAACCAAAATCAAATAATATACCGATTAACTGTACTTTCTTTAACTTCCAAATTAATTTACCGCGGCGTTTACAACAAAATTCTATAAATTGATGGGAAAGATCTGCATGATTAAATTGGTAATTGGGTGTATTCTTCCATAAAATTACAAAAATTGATTTTCTTAATAAGTTACATTTCATTACATTTAAATAAAATGTACACGTGTTACATAGTCTTCTGCGTTCCTTTGACATTCGTGCCCCAAAATGCCCGCCCGCGAAGAGTTAAATGGAGAACCAGGAGTGAGTGAGCACATTCATGACACGATAAGTTTAACATGCGTGTCAGACATAAATAGTAAAATGGATAACAAAATAGTAAAATTATTTAAGAAAACTGAGAGGTAGTTCATCGAGGAAGAGTCTGGGAGGAACTCGGTGAGGCCGCCATGTTGTGAATTGGAAAACACGCGATAGAATTAATATTTGAAACGTTATTTTATTAACTAATATGTGCTAGTTGATAGATTGCAAAAAATTCAATCCATAGGGAACATCTTTCCCAGAACAGACATCTTTAATCTTTTTCAAATAGTAGAAAATTTCTTGAACGAAGCTGCAAAGAAAATAAAGGATTGTTCGATCGAACGAATTAAGTGCTGCAATATATATTTCTAAATCACCACAAAGAATCATCGAACCCTTGTTGCTAGGTGTCGCAAATTCTTCTCCTTTCTCTTAGTCTGATTATGAATCCTATTCTACTTACTATTAAAACCCGAGCACGAACCTCGCGATACAATCGAATCTACGTTATAGAACTGATTTTAACTTTACGTAATGCGTGCCAGATCGTCGCTAACGACACATAAGGCAAGTCGTGCGGTGTCTTTCCGAACTCTGAATTACGTAATGTCCAGAGACCATCACTGCATAACTAGTGAAGAGATTCGAGAAGATGTCAGCCGATCGTGGAAGCCATTTATTATTCGAGTTACTCCGTTGTACAATGAAAAGATAATGAACTGTTGTTAATTCCTCGGTATTAAAATACTACTTCCAATAAACTCTAACAAAACATTATTCGTATTCTATAATTAAAAAAATAATTCATCCTTGGAGAACGCTTTTCAATCTTTCAGGTATCCGAATTATCGAAGTTACAAGTTTGAACGAGTACTCAACGTGTATTGATGTAATTGTTTCAAGTTTTATACAATCCTGCGTTATCTTATCGAGCTTCTTAAGCTGTGAAATAACTTTGATTTACGTTTATCGATTCGGTTTAATGTAACCTAACACGGAGTAGTTGACCATTTTATATAAACGAGGAGAATATAGTACAATGGAAAAATGAGTTTCTAGTTCGTTTTATATAACATTTATTTAACATATTTTTATATTGAAATTAACAGACCGTAGGAGAATTAAAAATTAAGCTGTAGATGGTATAATATACGTAGTAAATCTTTCGTACGGCTTCCCTTTGTTCTTTAGATTTAAAACTGCTTCTCGGATATTATCTTTAAAATCAGTATTTACATACAGTCCGATAATGCGTCCTCTACAAACATTTTTATCACCATCGCGTTGCCTGTTAACGTTTTCAGGACCTGTACGTTCGACTCATCTCGTTTACTTATTTCATTCTTAGTCCCGAACGTGTTTTCGTGCCACTAGATTCTGAAGATTTAGATGTTTTTTTTTCTTATTCCTGTTGCTATTACACAGCAATTTTACTACCAACGATATTTCGCTACTTTCGTTGCTCCTGGGGTACATTGATATATGTAATCGACGAGAAATCTTTTGTCATTCGATTACATAAATATGTATTTTTTTCGGAAAAGAAATTTCCTCGTCTTACTAAAAAGTCCACTAACGGAGCCGAATCGATAGTATTACTCTTACGAGAAAAAATATGCTTCTTACATACAAATTTTAACCACGTTTAAGACGAAATATATTATTTCTTAAACTTATATCATCAACAGTGTGCGAGGAAAGAAATTCGTGAAAAAAACGGTTACATTTAGCGTTTTAAAGCAGAAGACTGTCTCGTCGCTCGAACGAGAGGTTTTCCCGCGCGTCTCGTTAAAATTCTTTCCATCGAAAGAATCGGCGGGAAGGCGCGACGGGCCAAGAATCAAGCCCGGAAACATTTCTCGTCATCGACGTGGTGATCTTCATCCAGGATGGTCTTTCAACGAAACGCCGAGCCCGGTGGCTACATTGGATTCCAAGCGGTAACGTCGGCGTCCTCTTTGTTGCCGATCGCTCACTGGTCTTCTTCGTTCGCTCTTTCTTCCCGATCCGCCGGCCTTTCCCGTGGAATTTTTCCACCACTCGATCATCCCGGTGGCTCGCGAAGGAGGCGATAGTCCATTGAATCGTCCAATGATGCGATACCGCGAGATCTCGCTGGGCGGTGCCCGGGACGCTGGCGATGGCTCTCGGGTCCAGCGGGCCCGTAGTGGGGTCCGTAGGAGCCCGACAGGACCCGGGACGTCGGCGGTGGTGGGGGGATTGACATCGACTACTGTGCATTTCCCACGTGCCCTGGGAACCCCCGCGGCATCGTGTCAGCCCCCGCTCTTCGTTCTTGCACGCTCCTTCCACCTCCGCTTCCTCCCACACCTTCATCAGCGTCGCTCTTTCTGGCCTCGAGAGGTTCGATAAAGACAAAGAGATCACCGCTCCCGCGGATCTTCTTCCGAGAACCCGATTCGGTTGATCCGCTTTTTCGCGTGGGCGAGTAGATTGACGCGGACTCGTTTCGGGATACCATCGACGACAAGTACGTCCCGACGAAATCGACGCTAACTACCGATTCCGGACATCCGAATCGTCGTCTCTTGCCCTCTTGGTCGCGGAACACCAGAGAGAAAATAAAAATCGAACGTCTGAAAACGCGAGAGAAAGAGAGGCGAGAGCCGTGGCCGCGGCGCGGTGGCTCCTCTCGAACGGCTACCTCCTTTGTGCCCTGGTGCGGCTACCGCCCCCGCGGGGGGGCAAACATGCGAAGAGGGCGAAAACGAAAGAACCGGCGTCGGTATTCAACGGAAGAGTGGGAAGACCGTTTCGAAAAGGGTCCCCGCGTGGGCGAAGAGGGATGCTCTGATCCTACGGTTACGAGGGCGGTCCCATCGGACCAGGTGGAAGGGATCGTGGAAGAGAGGGAGCAAGTTGAGGGACAGTTGGAGCGAGGGGAGTGCGGTTGAGTACTCTCCCAGGAGCTCAGGAAGCCGCGTTGTCGAAGGATTTGTGAATAACCGCGCTGCTATTCGGCGACTGGCCAGACAAGGACGCTAGACAGCCAGGATAAGGAGCGCTTCTTCCTCTTCTTTCGGGCTCCTCTTCCTTTTCCTTCTTCTGCTCCCGTTCCTCCTCCGCGGTCCGCGAGCGCGCCACTCTTCTGCTTCTCTTCTCACTACCACCACCACTACCCGGCCGCGCTAGTTCAAGGAAGGAAGATCCTGGTGCGTTTCTGGTAGAATCGAGAGAGGCTCACACGGACGTACGACAGAACTGGTGGGCATCGGTGAGCCGGGTTCGGTAGGGAGGTGTCTCCCGGTCCTCCAACCAGAAGAAGCGAGACGACGACGACGACGAAGGAGACCTTTGGCGGTTACACACCGCGTCCTACCGTCTTCTGGTGTGCCTACCTATTCGGGCTACCAGCGAACCGAGCAGGCAAACGGAGCTTCAGTCGACGCCGCGCACCCAAACGGTCCAGACCTGTCAGCCCATAAGACAGCATCCCGGCACACGATCACCCAGAGAATCGATTTCTCGAACCAGTTCCCGGCTTTTCTCGCCGCGCGATTTATACGAACGATTTCGGTTCCCGAGTTCGGAGAAATTACACGCACTGGGACGCGTTCCTCCGTTTGAACCGGACGTCGAAAGTTGGAGACTAAGCGTCAGAGGGAATTACGGTGCAAGCGTGGTGACTTCAATCGGTAAGTGCGACTTTTATCTCTGTTCGAACGGAGTAAACGCGATTCTATCGCGACAGCTCGTTTTTGACACTCGTTGCGATCGAACTTGACGGACGACGTGATTTATTTTTCAATTTTAGAAACCGGTTCTCGTTTGCTTTTCGAAATTGTAAGCTCTTTTCTTTTTTCAAGTTTTCCGTTAAATGCTGGGAGTTCGAAACTCGTTATCGTTCTTTGTAAATAATTGAATTCGATACAATTATTATCTTAATCGATGTCGGGCGATAGAAAGGAATTTAGTTGTAGACTGTTGCTTGGTATCTCATTGTGTTTCGAATCGAGCGGGCGGGAAGAGGTGTGGTTCACATTCGTTGATGCCGCTTGAGTCTTCGTGTTGACTGGCCCAAAACCGGTAGCGTGCCAGAGGGCGGTACACGGTAGCTGTTTCGCTTTGATTGGCTATCTGGCAAGACTTTGAGCCAAGTTCCATTCGTCGATAGCCCGAAACCTTCGTCGTATCGCGTTACGCAGCACTCTTTCGCGTCTCACGTCCGCACACGAACGTTGCCCACCATTTCAAAGGGACGGACATCCAAATTCGTTCGATCTTGGAATATTCAGGAAATTATTCCTAATCGATTTAATTATAAATACAAAAGTAGCTGAGTCCTCGAAAGAAAAAATTCTATAATAAAAGTTTCGTGCTTGATGCAAATTCGATCTCTTTGTTTTTTTCGAGATTTCGATAGCTATTTCAAATTCGTATAAAAGACGATAGAACGGAAAGAGAGGTACAGATCTGAATTTCTGATCCCAAAAGACTTCCCTTTTACTTCGACCCTAGGAACGTTAAAAATTCTCAGACTAGCCTAAACATCTTTCGAAGCAGAATTTCTATATCCAAACCTAGAGTTGAAAATTTTTAAACAAATCAGCATGAAAAGGACTAAAAATATCGATATCTGTCTCGTAGAGGATGGCAAATATTTTGAACGCTAAGAATCCAACTCGTCGCCATCGGGGTATTGTTCCACCAACCGCTTTGATCCTCGAAAAAAACCCCATCAAGGGCCCACCGTGTCTCCGTTCCCATTGGACAGCACGGGGAAATCGTAGCAGAAAGCTGCCCTTCCCTGGCAGACCCTTCCACGTTGAGGTCTCTGGTCGTATCCAGTACCGCGGCACCACGTCGATCCAGAGGTGGAGGGTGTGGTTCCGCTTGGTGGATTTCTGTGGAGGTTCGGTAGCGACTGGCCGAAAACCGGTAGTCGGCGGTAGGGCGGTTCACGGTAGCAGCTCCTCTTTGGTTGGCTACCGGCGAACGAACGAAGGCTACTGCTCCCTTCTTTATTCCTCCATACGTACGAGAACGGGTGCACGCACGTCGTGCGGGCTTCTTGGTTGGCTCCACTCCGTTCTTCTTTGATTGGCTGCCTCTTCATCCGTGCCCTCCGTCCTTCGTTTCCTTTTGCTCGCGAGAGACCAAGCGTAAACGCGGGAGCCTCTTGGGATGGCGTGCCCGATGAAAGACCGACTCTGTCGTCGGGGACGAGCACGATCGAGTCGCAAACTGCCCCGTAGATCGACTCTTGCGATCCTCGACTTCGTCCGGAGCGAAACTCTCGATGGACGGGTTCGCTGAGAACGCAGAGCAGCCCTCTGCGCTCCAAAGTCGTCGAGCTTACGCCGAAGGATTTCAGAAATCGTGCAATCAGTAATTTCATTTCTGACTGCATGGAAATTAGTATCGTTGGTTTGCACTTTGGTGTATTCGAGAAGCATGGAATGGATTATTGCCAGGCTGGCTGGTGTGCCTGGGAGCCACGCAAACGGTTATAACCTTTCGAGTATGGTAGAATGAGTAGATGCCAGGAAACTCACCAAGGGCTGGAGAAATCTGTCTTTTCGTTCGTATCGTATGAATCTAAAATCCATCGAAGCGCGTTGATCAAGATCTCTCGTAAAGATGGACTTGTTCTTGACGCGAATATATTTTTTAACAAATACAAATAGTCAATAGGGAGGGCTCGACAGGGGAATAAAAATGAATATTATTTATTAATAAAAAATATAATCGTAAGTTATTTTGTAGCTTGCGTCTGTACGAAGAATGGCGTCCATCATTTTGTCCGAGTGTCATGATCAACGCGATAGTAATAGTTTTTTGAATTTAATCGAGTATCAATTTAATGATAATTTTCCAATAATATTAGGTTTCAAAATACACTGATTTGAACATTGGAATTCTTTCAGGTTGCGTTATTCGTTGCTTGATTTTGGGTGCGATAGGAGGTCCACAAGCGTTATAAGTAGATCCATACAGTTTGGTGTCGGACTTATTTTAGGGTATTTGACCAACGCTTTGAGGAACGTCGATTTCAGTAAATATTGGGAGAATCGAAAGATAGAAACATCGGTTTTGAGAAAATCTGATTACCAAGGCGTAAACTCTGAATTCTTTACACAGACACTGATTCTAGTGTGTTTTTCATTGAACATTAGGAAAGAAAATTCCATCATTATTCTAATGAATCATAGTTTAACTTGCTGATCCGGCGTAATATTTTGATTAAACGTAATCCTATTACATTCTGACGAATCTAGACGTATAATTTGCAAAATTGAATCGACGAGTCCCGATAGTTAGGAGCACCAAAATTTTTTGGCTACTTAGGAAGCAGGATTTTTCTTCGACAACGATCGCCGTAATCCATGCGAATCACGACGCGGGCATCCACGGCTGATTCGAACGATAATTTTCGGTGGATGACAAGTACACGGACCTTTGGTTTCGGTCGGACGTGCCCGCATTCACGAGTGAAACCCGCATTAGCGTCAGTGTACCAAGAATACGACAACCTGATCGAATTGCAGGACGCGTGTCTAACAGGATTAAGAAATCCAACGTCCCCGGGGTCCGTTGGCTTAATTTTATAATTGTATTCACGTCAGAGCCCGCTAAACGTCTCCATTATTCCTCACGATGATCGAAATCGTGTTCTGTAACAATGGCGCGACGACGGGGATCGGCAACCTCTGCGTCGTCGTAACTTCATAGCAACATTCCAAACGCTTCGAATTCGGATACCGAACCTAGGAACGAAGCTAGATGACATTGAAGATTGCACGCGGTACGCGACAGGTAATTTCCCACCTGGGAATATTTTGAAATATATTTTTTACGTCGTTCGTTGCGTAACTTTTTCAAAGGAATCGAAGATCCTCTTCCGATAGGGTGAAACTCGGCTTTATATGGATACACTGTTTGCGTGGGTACGCTTATTCGTAGATACCTCCGACGTACTACGCGATCTTAACTGCGTGCTTTCACATACATTGCATTATCATACATTATCATACATTAGCTTTGACCTCTCGATCGCGACAGACGACTAGACGAACTTGCTTCTTGCCATAAGGTTTTCCCATCGATTACTGGTAATCACGAGTATCGATGATTGATGGGAAAAATACGTTTGTCCCGCGATTGACGTGTAGAGATAGCTTGTTGGAAACTCAAGGGAATGCAAAGAAATTCTTTTTGTCATCGAAACTTAACCGTCGATCTCCAAGTTTTAGTCGTTTATAACACATTTTTAACCACGTTGCGTTGACATTGAATTCATGTTAACGTCAAACATCGCTCTATCCGGTACGACCAAGTTCTTCTTTCTGTCACTTGTAGTTCCTCCTCGTTTATCTCAAGTTATACGTTATCGTTGATTCGTACTCGGAAATCTCTGATCGAATCGACCAAAGTCCGGACTAAAGTCGTCCCAAAATTTATGGAAGAGTCGATGTAGAGAAAAATCGGGTTATCGGAGGAGGATAGAGGTTGAAGAACGGCCAAGTGCTCGAAATTTCGGAATCGTTGGAGTCTCTGTAACGTACCCCGCGTCAGCCCGGAGCTGGCGTTACGCGAAGAAGAGCAAAACGAAAAGCGGGCAGAGCAGACTCCCGCGTAACACGCAGCTCCGATTAGGCCCCACCGCCGTTAGGCAGCCTAACCAACCGGGATACGCCCAGCCACGCTTATTACTCATTCGGACACGCCACTTTATTCGAGCGTGCGCCGTGTGCTTACCTTGCGCTACCAGTAGCACCGGACGTGGCTCCTGCACAATGGCCGCGCCACACCGCGCGATTGGACCCCGGGGGCCTTTTTTATTGCTGCCTCTCCACTCCGCGGGACCACTCTTTTTGACTACCGGTCAAGCGGTAAGCTTCTTCCCATACTACTTTCATTTGGACATCCTTACTTGCGATCGAATCTCGCTTTTCCATAGCTGCACCCTCCTGCGTTTCGAGAATGAAGCTCGACCCCTCGAGGCTCGTCGACTTTGACTTTGGGTTAATCCGAGTTTCATTTTCTACGGCCATTGACAATCGTTTGGGGGTAAAAATATGTGAATGACTGCTCGATGCTAGGTCTGATCGACTGGAGAATTTTAAAGGCTATCGGAAGCGAGGGTTGTGTTGAGAATCGATCGTTCAAACGAACGTTGAATTTTGTATAGGTTGTAATCTTTTTCGTCTTTTTAATTTTTTTATTTCGTGAAATTATATGTTTCGTCTCGATGAGTACTTGTAGGTAGTCTAGGTAGACCGTTCGTCGTGGACAAATCATATTCATCCTCGCGTCTAGCGATTATAAAACTCGTTTGCCGACTCGAGTCTCTGATCTGACAGCGTTCTTCAAGTTTTTACATAACTATCCCGTATTTAAAAATTCGTCAGTGCTCGAAGAATGCTAAATACGGTGGGAAGATGGTGCGAGAGGATCCTTCTGTCGGTCGAAACGTTGACTCATAATACACGGGTCTAAGAGAAAACCTACAAAGTGTGTCACTTGTTGGTCAGTTAATAAATAATTACGTGACTAAGCCTCCGTATGCCTTGAAAACTACTGATGGAACGGAGAAACGTTTCCCTTAATTTACGATATTTTTCCGATCGACTTTAGTATATTTTAATTTTAGTTGTGAGAATTTGTTTATTAATTGTTACCATCTACAATAAATACCACGAGTACCAAATATGCGATAGGTTCTTCGACAGTATACAATTTCATGCAATGTCTCATTTTCTTATCTGGTACTTATCTTTGTAATATTATTAATTTCAAAATTGTTCGTTGTACAATGTATCGAATTGTGAACAATTATAAATGGTCTTATCTATTTACGAATCAAATTGTTGTTTCGATAAAAATAGTGTAGTATCCACCTACATTAAAGATCGCTTGTGTCTGATGAGGATCAAACATTCTAACGGTCAAAACGTCCTCTTAACAGAATATTAAATAAATTTTACTCTCAATTGTTCGATAAAAACAAAAATACCTATTATACCACTTTATCCTGTATGTGAACAAGAGCAAAAATAACTAAAGAATAACTTGTTTCCTTTAAAACTCACTGAAGTCTACATAACAAGCTGTATCGTATCGCTTGAAATTGAAAGCTGTGTTTTACCTGAGGGGTTCAGATTAACGAATCGTCTTTACACAGTGAACATAGTGTTTCATAACGGGGAAAATGGTTAAAAATTCAAAGTAGTTTTCTTCCGCAGTTGAAGACCTTTCTAACCCATTTAATTCTTCATAGCACAATGGCTACCCCTAGTGACCGCCTAGAAATCAGAGACCATTTACTTCAACAATTTTGTAGTTATTCTCATACTTGAGTATTCTTTTTTAAATTTTTAAAATTTATTTTTAGCAAGTCTTCTGTATTTGGGGATATCTGAAAGTTCGGAAAACTATTTAAACTGTAATTTTACAAATAGTTAACGTTGTTTCGTTATAACGCGTTCTTTGCGCCTAAGTACACGTATTTATAATAGTATCTTACGCAAAAAGCGATTCTTAGTCAACAGAATGGACAATTAGTGACGACAGTTCTTTCTTCAAAACCAATTATTCGAGGTTCGAGCTAATCTGTGACAGTGATTTCCCAGACACGACCGCGAACAGGGCCTTTAACGAGCTGTTTCACTTTTATTGTTAAATTCGTAGGAAATGAAATAATTTTTTTCTATTCGTGTTACCCAATAATTTTACTCCAAATCAAACTTTTAGATTCGTTCGTAAACTAGGTTTCGACCGCGGCTCTGTTCGACTGGATATCGGTTGAAAAAATCCATATTTACGAAGGAAACGTGAACGAATTACAAATTTCTATTCGTTATTCCGTGAATAAAATTTCAAATTTGATTGAAAGAATATTGTAAATCGATTTGAAGGGGACGCAAAAGAAGGTGATTGTCAAATTTATCTAGGAGTGTTTTTATGTAACATTAAAATAGTTCTGCCTAGTGCTCTAAATTTGAATCGGTTTTATCAATATTGATAATACTGCGCGATCGTCATTCTTAAATTGTAACCCCTGTTTTGAAAGACGATTCGAATAAAAATTTCGTAATGTGTTCGATAATTCGAGGATCGTGGAACAAAATGGACGACTCCGATACCGAAGTCGAAAGCAAACGAATAGAGTTCTCGGTGTGAAACCGGTGCAGATTCGTTGAAGGTTTGATAAAAATCGTAAATCTGACAGTCGAGTGTTCCCTTGTTAGCGTTTCTCGGAGAAATGGTAAAAAGAACGGCCATGAAAGGGGGGAGGGGGGGCCAGGCCCGGTTGGGGCGCTCGGTGGTACTACCCAGCGACGATCGAGCAGTCTCCGGTGAATCGATCCGAAAATCATTGCTCCTTTATTTCCCGGCAGGTAGAGAGAGGTACGAGCACCTTCTCGCGAGGAGGTACAGACGGAGTGATCTCACTCCCAGAAGTTAGCCGGTCGGGACTAGGTTTGCGCGGGAGGTGAAGAGCGCGACACGAGCAGCGAGAACGAGAGACCAGGAGGCACCTCGGGAAACGGAGAGAAACAGGCGTACGAAAGAGAGACAAAGACGAGTAGAGGCTGAACCAGGTGGAGGGAGTGACTCGAGGCGTTAGCAGGACCGCGAGAGAGGAGGTAGAGGGAAAGGAGACAGAGAGTCGACCAAGAGAAGGAGCGGTGGGAATTTATAAGGATGTTCGCGATAATGCCGATGGAGACAGAGGGGCACGGCAGGGAGTTCGGCCGCCGGCAGAAGATGCGCGCCAAGTGCACGGTAGAGTTCGTCTGCAAGTACTGCCAGCGGCGCTTCACGAAGCCTTACAACCTCATGATCCACGAGCGCAGCCATAAGGACGACGTGACCTTCACTTGCGAGGTCTGCGGAAAGTCCTTCAAGCGGCAGGACAATCTCAAGCAGCACAGGTACATTTTTTCACGGAATATTTCCACGGACGCGCGAATTATTTTTTTATCGTTTTTTTTTCTTCATACATTTTTTTTGGAATTTCTTTCGCGCCAAGACTCTTCCAACGCGTCGCTCGCAGCGACGGGACCCCGAGACTCCGCCGTCGATTCGCTCGACCCAGACATCCGATCGGGCACGTTTCTTTCTTTCTTTTTTTTTTCGTTTCTTGGTCCATTCGATGATCAGCCCCTTCTTTACAAGGGGAGATCCCAATTGCTCGTGGTCCCTCTTTTTCTCGTTAGCGATTCGCGGGTTCCCAGTGACGGTTACGAATTTCTGCGAGCCCGAAAGGTCATGCTGTGCACCGCGCCCGACAGGTTTGACGAGACTGTGACTCCCCGACGGTTCGATACATAGATCGTAGTGAAGTTCAATGTGACCCCCACGATCGTCAATGTCTGCGTCGAGGAATCGATCTCGGAGCCGGGCCAGGCCCTCTTGCTCGTTACGGCCCCGACGAACGTGTTCGTTTAACGCGTCTGTGCTCGGTTCGCGTTCCGTCGCGCACGGCTCTCGATTGTGTTGTGAAAACTACGGGCAAGTTTTTTCTAGCCAAAGCGAAATCGAAACACGTTTGACAGTTGCAACAAGTGCGAACGACGCCCGGTGTATTACCAACACTGCAAGTTAAATTCGTTCTGTTGTTTTAATCGCGATCTTCCGAGCAGCGCGGAGAAAGTGTAATTCGAATCGGTCGAAACTGTGATGCTCGTCGATCGTACATATGTACGCGTATTATTTCGTTACGTTAATAGTTGAATCTTACGCGTCTAATATTGACAAATGACGTCTGGCAGTGTCTTAAACTCGCGGCTCGTAAAAATTTATCCAAGTCTCGTCGAATACTGCCAGTCATTCTCGTTAAACGACGATACACATTCGCGTGGAACTTGGGATTTTCGTTTCTGCGCGACGTGACACCGTACGGGCACGCGAAAGTACATATAGTATTCCAACGCTGTCGCGTCGAATGATTTATGCTCGACCAAATGAAGTATGATTGTGATTTTTTCGGATACTTTTATTCCATCGGTTATGCGCAAGTGTCGAGTTTATAGACGAAATGTGCGAAGAGAATTCATCGATGCAAACGATATTTAAAAATCATTCCTTGGATAGAAAAGTATTGCAACGACTACATAATTAATCAAATCTGAAAAAGGAGAGTGTAATTTCTTGTAGTAGGTAGAACAGAGTTTTAATCGTTTGTTGGTCCACCATAGACACGAAAAAGTACACTATAAAAGTCGTTTTCTGTATGAAATCTTTGACATAATTCAGGACGATCTTGTTTCCCAAAAGTATCAATAATATCATCAAGTTTCGGAGCTGAAATTCTTCATTATTTATTTCATTTTCTCTTTTCATTAGTTTTTATGTACTTGGTACATATAACTTATCTGCTATCGTTAGTATTTCAATCTATGTTTTTCGACTACATTATTCATTAGAATTTTAGTTTTCCGACAATTCTCGCGACATCCACCTTTAAAAGAATATAACGTCAAGTGTAAATGTTTTACTATGCTAAAGCAGTGTGTTTATATTGAAAATTTTACGCAGTTCAAGTATTCTTATGACATTGGTGCAGTTAATATTTCCAAGAAATGTATTGCAAATAGTTTTCACTAACATTTAAAATTCTGACGTTTGTACGAATCTCCAATAGGAAAAATATGTTAAGAATTACGATGCAAATTTGTTTGCTCGAAGCATTAAATCTTTTTATTCGGTAACAATATAGGAAAACGAATAAGAAAAATAAAAAGCAACCTTTTGGTATACATATAAATTCTCCAACACACAATAAATTCTACCTCGACAAAAGAGGGCATGCTCGAGACTACGGACACCTTGTATAGATTTTCGAATTCGAGTCGAAAATTGAAATTATAATTTCGTGGTCGCGTTCAGTTTCTATAGTCTCGCGTGCTTTTGTTTCAAACTGTAGAGTTGCGATGTAAAACGAGCTAAAGTTGCGTGTATTGTATATTGACCCGAGCGAGTAAGAATATAGGAACCGCTTCGAAAACCGGTCGGGTCACCGATACGACCTCTTGTAAGGCAAAAAAGGATAATCCAACGAAGACAGTACTACATTTAGTGACAGCCTGCGAGATGATTTTCGTCGATGATACATCAACCCCATTTTCTCGATCGCGATCGACGTTTCTTCGACTAGAGCGCAGACGCGGTAAAAATCGAAAGTGCGATTGAATATGTCTGTGCTGAGCGTGAAAAAGAAATCGAATTTACTTGTTTTAAACAGAGACGTTTCAACGATGTTTGAAACGTGCTGTGTTTGAAGCAATACTCGGCACGTTCCATGCGAGAAGAACATTACTTTTATTGCTATTTAAATGTACTAAATTTTACGTTTTTATCTATTCCAGTAATACCTTTTTGCGAGTGAAACAGTATATAATATATTATACCGAGGAAACTTTAGTGATATATGAGAAATATGTGATTTCAAGCATTATAGAAACTCTGAAACTCTGTTGTAAATATTTTCAATTATATAAGAATTGGTTTTTTTTATATATATAATATAATGGTAGTCTCATATATTGCACCTTAAGATTGTACATTTGAGGATCTTATTAACGTTACAACTTCCACCAGGATATTTCATTTAATATATCTTAAACGCAGATATAAGAAATTTTTCGCCAATTAGGAATACCATTCAAGTATTTTGATATTAGGACCGTAAATAATGAAACATCGACGAAAGAAAGTCATGTTAAAGTCTGTTAGATGCCACTTCGCGATCCGTCGGTCATCGACAGTCGCTAATCGCGAGCGAGATAATTTATGAAGGAAAGATGGAACGTAAAATATAACAATATTCACAGACGAATTATAGTAATAAATCATTACAGTTGCAACGCAAGTTTTTATCCATTTTGGTAGTAGTAATTTTAAAAGCAATAATTTTTTACATCAAATCAAATCGACTCTGTAGAATCGGCAAATATATTTGATTTTTTTTTTAAGTTATTTGATCCGTTTAATGATACAGTTTTTATTTTATCAATTTCGTTCATTTATTTATTAAGTTTTGCTGTCGAAATAGGTACTCCTTAGAAAATGAGTAAAATTCTGGGATTTTAAGAGTTTCGAATTCGAGGTTCGTGAATTTAAAAATCAGATTTCGTCCCATGTCTACATTTAACCTTTCATTCTTAGATTTAAAGAGCTCGTTGTACAAAACGTTCAGTGCCACTTTCCGGACGCTTTCCCTAAACCACTACCATCAAAACAAAGGTCAATTACTGCAACTTTCATTTCGTTGGTGCGTCAATTGTTGAAACAATTTGAGAAAAAATTAGCGCTTTTTTGTTGTCGCATTTTAACGTAATTGTCTAAGGGAATGATTTGAAACTATAAGAAACAATGAGAATGTAGTAGCTCCTCTTAAAAAGAGTCTCAATAATGATTGCTTTCCGAAAAATGGAGAACAATGTTATAACAAATATAAATTTTATTTGCAGTTAAATTTTTATTTCGTCCATCTTGCGATATTTAATTCTATAATTAAAGCTCTGACTTTGGTCTACGAGTATCAAAAATTTGTACGTAAGAATCGTATCGTCCACCGAAGCTCGATTTATCCTTGCACAGGGTCGGGCGGAGTTTTCACTTCTGTAAAGTAAGTTGGCAAAAAAACTCTAGAAAAGTTAACAGCGCCGCGTAACATCTTCATACGAGCGGGGGTTACCGGTTCGCTCGATCTTTTTGCATCGCGTTGTCCTTGCGAAGTTGTAATGTGTCGCCTTCGCCGTGTGTTTCTGGCGAAGGCACGGAAAAGGTGGAGAGAAAGAGAGGATCCGCGCGTAGATCCGCAAACTTCGCGCCCCTTCTCTCCGTTCACTCCGTAGCACTTTGAAGATCGGTCTAACCCATAAATCAGTCTGAAATAATGCTGCCTCCGCATGGAACGTGCGAGCCAAAGACGCGCGCGCGCGCGAGCGCACGAGCGCGTGAACGAGCGAGCGAGCGAGCGTGAATGCGGTCGAACGAGCGAGCAATAAAATAAATCTTCGATACTGGTGGATACTAATGGATACCTTGTATGTAACGGCGGTGGTCTTGTTTTCTGTTCTGTTGTAGATGTGGGTGGCGGTGAGCGGGAGCTCTGAACCTCCTGCACCTTGACACACACACAATGTACACGCAACAACATCAACATCATCAACAACAAAACTACAACATCAACAACAGTCTATAACAACAGAAAATTATAACCACGTTCTTCTATCGTTCGATTTTACTCTATATATATATATTTTTTAATTGTTTTTTTTTTCTTTTTTTTTTGTTTCTTTTTTGTTTCTTCATTCGAAGATTTCCCGCATATATCCCGATCACGAGGGCAACACATGATCGACTCTCGCGTATCGTGTACCGCCACCACGAAATGATTAAGAGCCCCCCAGCATGCCAAGCTCTGCTACTACCACCTACTTATATTCTTCTTCTTCTTCTTCCTGTGCTCTTCTTTTGCTACGATCTACGATCGCGAATTGCCGCCTCACTACTTCTACTGATACTAACAGCAGCGCGCACGAAAACCCTCTCTCGCGAAACGGTTGGAATTGATTTGCTAAATAGGAGGAGAAAGAAAGTGGTGAGAGAGGAAACAGTTTCCTTGAAGAGTACTTTCCTCATCTTCCGATTTCTACCATCTTTGTTCCAGGAGCATACACTCTGTTCCCTACAAGGGCTCCAACGGATACTCAAATGGTTATTCGAATGGCTACTCTAGGTATTAGAAGCCATCCGGCCAATTAATATCCTAAAATCCCGTAGACACGCGTTTCTCTGTTTCTGATTAGGCTATCTTTCTGATCGCGCGGTACTGTCGACCAGTCCTTGGAATTTCGATGGAAACCTTTTCTAAACATTCATGCTTCTCTGTACGAACGTCGCAGACACGAACACGTAATCAAAACTCTTTGGAAATATTATTCGACCCATTCGAAAATATTATTTCATAATTTAAATTAGCAAACAGATCCGAAAGAGTCAATGACTAAATTGTTACATCACTCGATGAATGTATTTATTATTCTCAGAAATAAGTAGAATATTGTTTCCGTGTAAAGTTTTGTACGCAATGTCTACGAGTTTCGATACTCAAGGGTGCCTTCTCAAGTTCTTGCAAGTTCGAAAGATTAAGAATCAATTCGATCCATTTATGATAACGCAGGAGACTTTAGCGTCGCGTCGTGTAGTAAAAAAATATGAAAAGTCGAAAGTGGTACTCCAGATTCTTTTCTTAATCTTTTTCGAATACACAGACAGGAAGATGAGTTTACGGAAGTGCATTTTTGTGCCATATTCGTGATCGCCCAAGTACGAGATATTCTAAACGCTTCCAAAAATCGTTGAACCTATCTCAAACAATACTAGAATACTATTAAAAGCAAGCAATCGTTCGAAAGGCTTAAAAACTATAATAATATCAAGCGACACGGAGAAACTTTGAAAGATAGTTTCAACGATGACGGAAGACGAAATTAACGTCGAAATTTCGAGCTTCTCGACATAACCACGCGCCTAACATTTCTGATGTCCGTCCGTCGGTTCGAGTCCGTCGATTAATTTAATTATCGGTCCGAATCGGTTTGGATCGACGTTCCAAGTCGCAAGGGAAACAGTTCCGTGGACTCTGATTGTCTCCTCGCCTATAAACCTCGCTTCTCGCTCCTCCATTCCGCTTCATCGTGTTTTTCGCTTCTGCCATTTTCCTGTGTTCCGAGCCTAGACACCTAGACGTTAGCCATAGCAAGTCACGAATATTTATCATCGCGACAAAAAGATATCGAGAGATACGAAACAGAAAGAAAAATCACGAAACTAGAATTCGCTCCACGCGCGGGAACCTCGAACAGAAGGTGCCCCGGGCAAATAAAACTGCAACAAGATGGATGGAAGCTTGGTGTTTCATTTGGCAATGATATGCATCCTCCAAGTCTTCGAGCTACACCAAGATCTCCGAATCGAAGTTCTAACATGGTTGGAGTCGGACGATCCATCGCGACGAAGTCGTTTCACGATTATTTCAATAAACACCTGTTCGGGCAAAACCGTACAAGGAGATCGAATCTTGGTTATCAACGTGTTCGAAGATACGAAGTATCCAACTAGTTTCGTTATCTCGAAAGATCTGCTCGCCCACAGTTCCTGCTTTCTTCCGCGGCAGACCCGACGACGACGACGTCCGAGCGAACATCCATGGGAACGGAACATAGAGGCCAAGGTCGGAAGAAGCGGATTCGCGTTTTCAACGCCCTCTCGAAGACATCTGGACGGAAACTGGCTTCGAAGATTAAAAATGTCATAAAAAATTTAGAGTTCCATACGCGTGTAAAAGTTCGATCACGCCCGGAGGTTCGATCGAATCCTTAAAAATCGATTGAGGCAGAGATCGATCGACGCGAAGACACGGGCAGACGTTTCGAGAGAAACTTATCAAAGGCCAGAAGACGACGTTGTAACCCAATTTCAATATCAAAGGGTCCTGAAACCGCCGATTGGGTTTCGCAAGGTCCCCGGAAGCGGTTAATTTGTATTCAAGACGAAGAAAGATAGAGGGAGTCGACGTTGTCACGCGAGAACCTCGGGCTAGAGTCCCGAAATTGAGCATCGTAATAACCCACATCAGAGACGCTGAGGACCCGGCGCTACCGTGATACCACTTCCAGGCCTGGGGCGACATCTTCCAGGCCCAGCTGGGCCCGATCGGCTACCATTCTCGTCGATCGTAGACGAATCAGAATCGTAAGAACGTATCGCCTCCGGAGACGCGACCAGACGACCTTGGAGACGCGAAACAAGGCGGGTCCGCTGACGCAAACACCAGTCAGCTGAGATCGGTTTCCAGTGGGTGAACCGTCGGATCCAGGTGTCTCTTCGATTTCGCGCGGAGACACGGGCTCGCTCGATCAGAACGGCATGATCGATCGATCCCGTACGTTTCTCGGCCATCTATAGGCGTGATCGTATCCTTCTCGCGTACCCGCGACCTTCTGTAGGTTCCGCCGCGGAACAGACGTCGACGTGGAAAAGTTCTACCGAGAAAAATAAACCGGTCGTAATGGCGCTCGAAGGGAACGGCAACAGCGTCGTTTCGAGAACTTGAAAATTATTTAGAAGCACAAACACGTTTCGATTTTATATTTTTTTTAATGTTGGTCTGATATCTAGAGTGTTCTAGAAAATGTTTTTCGTTTCGTGTAAAATATTGACTCGACGTATCCGCGTTCATGTATTGTTGAATCTCGCTCGAAGTGCGCGCCATTGCTGAGAAAGGCGGATCGAAGTCTGAATTGTATATCAAATTATAGTTTTGTTTCTAACAATGGGAGTTTTTAAAACGAGATGCAAGATATTTAAATCGCATGAAGGTGATAATTGGTCGTGTTTTGGCCCTTCTCAAGACCAATGGCCGAAACGTCGAGGTTAATTATTAGGGAACACAGTTTGGTTCAAGTATACAATATTGATACTTTGTATGGTCAATTATTGTCCTCGCACGGTTGAATTTATTCGATACTCGGAGCAAGACATTTTAATTTTGACTAAATGCAGGGTACATTTTAATTTATATTTTAATAGATATCCTTCGTTTCAAAATACTTTGAGCAAGATTCGCAGTACTCTCTGGGACACCTAAATACATTACCTCGGTAAATGTTTGCAAACGCGTTTCAAATTCGCGTTATTTTGTCATTAAAATAATGTCGAATGACTCCTAATATATGTTTTCTGATGTGTTCGTTTAAAAATTAGAATTAAAGACTAAGCAAAGAATGAAACCAATGAAACAAAAAATGAAGTATTTATTTAGAGAAAATACATTTTTGTTTTTCGAGTGCCACAGCAAAATATTACACTGATATACAAAGTGCACCACCATGATGAATTAAATGAGTTAATTAAGGGTTAAAGTAATCACTGAATTTCAGTAGCGATTTCTATTACGATACGTTCAATATTCATTTGCTGCGTCGAAGTTTCTAATTTTGACCAAGTTTTTCTTAAAACTACCAATCTTTGTTTCTGTTTTTTTATTAGAAGAGACTTGGGTCTTCTTTCAAACGATCATCAAACATTTTTGTTGTTTCCAGCGAGCGACAGCATCGAACCTAACCGCGGTAGTCATAATAATTATTTTTCGTTTTTGTCAATGAAGTATTCGATCAAACTAAGGATGTTCGACTCTGGAATCGATTTTTGATAAAAATAGAAAAATGTCACAACACTTTGAAATCTTCAAGTTGGATTTGAATATTTATATTCAAGACACCTCAATGGAAAGAAATTTAGCAGAAATCGAGTGGTAAATTACCGCTTGTTAGCTCTTTCTCCAATGGCAGTAAAATTAAAGGTACCGATCGATAAATTTCTAGCAATTCTTCGAGAATGTCGAATTAAAAGAGTATAGTAGAAAAAATTCAATCCACGACTCGCGCCAAATTGGCCGTAGAAAACATCGGTTTTCCATAACATCGGACATCCTTGGACGAAACCCCGATATCGAGGTACCCCGGCGTCAGCGTTGTAAAAAGAATTGGAATTTCCAGGACCGATATGCGCGATATTGTGTGAAATTTAATATATTAGCGTCACCTCTCCTCGAGTTGTATACTATATTTTCGTTTTCTCTCTTCAGGAGCGCGTGCGCGATCGCAGACGTGAATCGCATTAACAAGAAATTCGCAGGGCTAGTTTAACGATCTCCCCGTTTGTAAATTAAATGGCAGTGACGCGATTGGGCACGGTATCGTGGACGAGAATGAAAGAAATAATTTTTTAAAACGAATTTTCGCGAGCTGTGGCGTCTCGACGCGCAATCGAGACCGACCGATCAGCTCGCAAATCGACCAAGGGTCCACGGCGACGATATTTCAGAGCGAAATGCCTGATCTGTGCAAGTATTTCACGGTTTTCCTCGATTCTCTTGTGAAGATCTTGCTTCTCCGAACAATGGAAAGAACGGAAATAAAAGAAAACTCTACAGTCGCGCTTTGTACATAGCTTAATAAATTACACGTCGCTGCGTCTTTCAATATTATTGCGGCCGATGCGATTATCACGAACGTATTATTATTATTATTATTATTATTAATATTATTATTATTATTAATTATTTTATGAACGTTATCGAAAATAGTCCTTAGTCACTGTGCATCGTAGCCATCGATAGGCCTTTCGATCTTAGAGCTGTATCCTGTTTTACCGATTAATAGGAGTGATAATAATGTTATTATTTTATTATTATTATTATTATTATTATTATTATATATTATAATTATTATAATTATATTATATTTGTATCTACATCTATGCCTGTATCGCTAGCTTTATAATGAACTGAGGCGCACGGTCAGCCCGGTGAGAGATTTTGTTGCTTTCCTCTCGAACAGAGATAAGACGAGAGGCATGCCTGACACCTCTCCGTGTGCTTTCGGGGAATCGCAATGTACTTGTGGGGACGTCTCCACCCTACCGGCCTACCAATAAATTTTGCCAAGTCGTAAAACCCGTCGTCTTGCTCTTTTTTCACCTTGCTGCCTCCGGGCGAACGTCGCACATTTTCATGAAATCCGCCGCGATTCCACCGTTCTTCTTCCTTTTCTCCATACCTGACCGACAAAAGTTATCGGGTGACCCGTGTTCATCCCGATGGCTCCTTCGTTTCAAGCGGTTGTGATCTGTTGCCCGTTTAATTGAATTATTCTAATGGGCTTGGTTCGAGGCCTTTTGACTTTCGACCCGTACCCAACGCGGTCCAGTATCACCTTTTTCTCGTCTCCCGTTTAGATTTATTTGAGATACTTCGGTGGCGACTTATACATATATCATCGGTTCCCAGTCCTAAGGGACGATCTCTCGTCTGCGATCGCGTTTCGTTACCCGTCGCGGACATAGTCGAGTTCTCGAAGCAAC